CAACAGAAAAAAACCACCAGGCTGGACAAGAAACTAAATAATGGAGAAAAAGCAGAAACCAACAACAGGTACACAATATAGCAAAGTCAAAGCAGTATATATTAGTGATATCCATAAAAGTAAATTGGCTCAATTCACCTATCAAAAGAAACAGGTTGACAGAATACATCAAGAAATAGGATCCTAGAGTATGTTGTATACAAGAAATACATCTGACTCAAAAAGAAACTCAGATTAAAAGTCAAAGCATGGAATAGAGTTTCCATGCACCAGGAACCCTGGAAAGAGCAGGGGTAGCTATTCTGTTTGCAGACAAAGTGAAGTTCAAACATATAATGATTAAAAGAGATAATGAAGGCCACTACAAACTTTTACATGGATAACTACAAGAGGAAGAACTAACAATTATAAATATATATGCACCAAATACAGGAGGACCCAACTATGTTACACAAATACTAATGGACATGAAAAGCTAACACCCAAGAACACAATTGTAATAGAAGACTTTAACACCCCACTGTCACAAAGAGATAGATCAACTTAGACAAAAAGTCAGCAAAGAAATAACATAACTGAATCATACCTGTGCATGAATAGACTTAGTGCATGTTTACATAGTATTCTACCCAACCATATCAGAACATATATTCTTCTCAGCTGCACATGGGACATTCTACAAAATAGACCATATATTATCCCATAAAATATTTTTAAGTAAATGCAAATGGAGCGAAATTATCTCATGCATATTATGGGACCATAGTACACTAAAACTGGAAATCAATGGCAAAAATCCCTGAAAAACCTGCACAAATACATGGAAATTAAATAACAATCCTGAACAACCAGTGGGTTACAGATGAAATTAAACAAGAAATAAAACAATGTCTATAATACAATGAAAATGCAGAAACAACATACCACAACCTATGGGACACAATGAAAGCAATCCTAAGAGGGAAATATATAGTAATAAGTAGTCACATCAAGAAAATGGAATGAACACAAATAAATAACCTAATGCTATATCTCAAGCTTCTAGAAAAGGAAGAGCAAGTCAAACCCAAAGTTCATAGAATAGTGGAAATTATAAAGATTAGAGCAGAAATTAATGAAATTGAAACCAAAGAAATTACAAATTAATGAATCAAAGAGCTGTTTTTTTTGAGAAAATAAAATTGATAAACCTCTAGCCAAGCTTATCAATAAAAAAACAATCCACACAATATGGACTGAAAAGAGAGAAATTTCTGTAGATCCCACGAAAATTCAAAACATCATGAACACCTACCTTGAAAATCTCTACTCACATAGGGTTCAAAATAGAGGAAATAGATTTGTAGAAATATGAACTATTGATGCTCAATCAAAAAGATATAACAATTTTGAGTAACCAAATATCAGCCACATTAATCAAAAATGTGATTAAAAACTTACCAACAATAAAAGCCCATATCCCACTGGATTCAGGGCTGAATTCCATAAGAAATTCAGAGATCTGACTGTAACACTCCTTAAACTCTTCAATGAAATTGAAAGAGAATTAGTCCTCCCTAACTCAGTCTTAGAAGCAAGTGTCATTCTCATTCCAAAGCCAGAGAGAAATCAAACCAAATAGCAGAATTATAGACTAATCTCACTAATGAACAATGATGCAAAGATTCTTGATACAATATAGGCAAATAGAATGCAACAAATCATGAAGAAGGTTATACAACATAATCAAGTAGGATTTATTCCAGGAATGCAGGGATGGTTCAACATGCACAAATCAATGAATGTGATACACCACATCAACAGAGCCAAAAATAAAAATCGCCTAATCATTGCAATGCATGCATAAAAAGCTTTTGATAACATACAACAACTGTTCACGATAAAAACCCTACAGTAACTCAGAATAGACGCTATGTACCTCAAAGTCTAAAGACCATTTATTGCAAACCTACAGCCAATGGTATTCTAAGTAGACAAAAACTGAAAACCTTCACACTAAAATCGGGAACAAGACACTGATGTCCCCTGTCACCTCTCCTAGTCAATATAGTTCTGGAAATATTAACCAGAGCAATCAGACAAGAGGGAGAAATAAAAGGAATAAAAATAGGGAAAGAAGTTAAATTATCATTATTTGCCGACAACATGATATGCTACATAGAAGACCCCAAAATCTCAATTGAAACACTACTAGAGGCAACAAACAAATTCAGCAGCATAGCTGGATAGAAAGTCAACACTCACAAATTAATAACATCCCTGCACACACACACACAAAAAAAAACTCCATGAGAGAAAAGTTATGAAAATATCAGCTTTCACAATAGCATCTAAAAAATGAAATACTTAGGAATCAACCTAACTAAAAATGTAAAACACCTGTATGCTGAAAATTATACTACTCTGAAAATGGAGATTCAAGAGGATATTGGAAAATGGAAGGATATGTCTTGCTCTTGGTTAGGAAGAGCCAATATTGTGAAAATGGCCATACTTCCAAAACTGTTATACAGATTCAATGCAATCCCAATCAAAATATCATTAACATACCTTCATATCTAGAGAAAGTAATTCTGAAATTCATCTGGTAACCAAATCTAGAATAACAAAAGCATTTCTGGGAAACAACAGAGAGACAAAACTCATCTCAATTCCTGACTTGAAACTATACTACAAAGCCACAATAATAAAATCAGCATGGTACTGGCAAAGAAATAGACCTGAGGATCAATGGAACAGATTAGAAGATGCAAACACTACTACAAAGACATGGAGCCACCTTAAGTTTGTCAAAGGGGCTAAATATGTTCACTGGAAAAAGATAGCCTCTTTAATAAATGGTGTTAGAAAAATTGACATTACATGCTAAAGACTGAAACTAGACCCATACCTATCACCATACACTAAACTAAAGTCAAAGTGTTTCAAGGATCTTAATATTAAAAAAGAAACAAAAATCTACTGGAGGACATGGTAGATAGAAATCTTGGAGACATAGGAGTAGGCAGAGAATTCATTAATAAAACACAATCACATAGAAAATACTTCAAAGAATCAACAACTGGGATCTCATATTACTAAAAAGTTTTGGACTTAAACAGAAATCAAATAAAGTGAAAAAAAAACCCCACAGAGACAGAAAGAATCTGGACAGACGACAAAGGACTTATATGCAGAACATATAAAATGAAATTATATAAATTTCAATATAAAATTGAAAAATGTCAAGCCCACAAATTCAAAGACCCTTTCCAAAAATGGGCATCAGAAGTAAGTACACAGTTCTCAGATGAAGATATGAAAATGGCAAATAAATGCATAAAGAAATGTTCACCAACATTGGCCATTTGATAAATGCAAATTAAGATAGCACTGAGATTGCATCTTACTCTGGAAAGAATGACTGACATCAAGAAATCAACTGAAACAAATTTTGGCAGCATGAAGGGGAAAAGGAACACTTGTCCACTGTTGGTGTGGGAATGCAGACTGATAAAAGCACTGTGCAAATTAGTGTGGAAATTCCTAAAAAAACTAAGATTGGATGTTCCATTCAATCCAGTTATTGCCCTTCTGGGTATTTTCGCAGAAAATTTGAAAAAAATTATTTCACAGTGACATATGTGCAACACAGTTGTGATAGCTAAATCTTGGAAACAACCAAAATGCCATCAACCACAAGTGGATGAAAAAATTGTATTTTTTCACAATGGAATACCACTCAGCTATAGAAAAGATTGAGGCCTTTATAAGTAAAACACCTGTATGCTGAGAATATATTTGAATATTCAAGAATATGCTTGAGAATATCCTCTCTCATTGTCTCCCTAGTGTAAAAAAATAATAAAACTGACAAAGAATTGGGGTCCAAAAAAGTATAGTATATATTGTAAAAGCAAAAGCAAAGAAACGGGCTCTAAATGATATAATGATACATATAGTGTGTAAGATAGATGACCATATTACTAAATTTCTGTTAGATCACTGAACAGAAGGGTTTGCACATCAATGATTCAGTATTTAGCTACTTTTTATGCTTTGTTTTGTAACTTTAACAACTGTTTTTAAGATGACAATATGTAATGTATCAACTAGTAATTTTAGGAGTTAAGTTTTTTGAATTCTATATTCTACACTTTTTTGCTTTTTTGTATTTTGTTTTCTTTTAATTTTATTTTCTATGTTTAAATTAAAATTTTTTTAAAATATAAAACAAAAAGAAATGGATGTGGAGTTTTGTGTCCTTGATGCCTTGTGTCAGGACCTGCTCATGCAGTGGTGGGAATACTTGGGATCCACCTGGCTCTGGGTGACCATTAGCTGCACTGTGGCATGACTTGTGGTATTATTCTTTACATTTATTGTTGTCATGGTCTGTGTGTGCATGAATCCACCCTATACATCACTTATAATAAGCACACTTTCCCTGATCTTTGAGATGGTGGAATGTGAGAAACCACTGCACACTGCTTCAACACCAAAAGGTATGATGACCTATGGAATCTGACCCAACCGATTAGCATGGACATAGTTATATAAGCATGAGTTATATAAGCATAGTTATATAAGCATAGTTATGTAAGCATGAGTTAACATAGACAGCCATGGATGTGCTCAGGCTTGTGACACTATGCAAGCATGTAATGCTTCATGATGGCTGATATATACAGGCTGGATAATAAAGATGCTTGCTTACTGCTGTTGCTAATGTTGGCTACATGTGGTTTCTTCTCTCTGGGGATCATACCCACTAAAATACCAATTCACTTTCCCTAACTCTGAGAAAATTTCATGCTTCAGACACAGGGCATTTTAATGTCCCACAAAACTAAAGTCTCTGTGCCTTGTTCCAAGCCATGCATCATATCCTAAAGCCAAAATCTCTGTTGGCATACAGCTTTAGAAAGGACAACAAGTTATATACCTGTGCCATGGTGATCACTTCCTAAGCCCTGTGATAGACCTTTTCACCACTTCCATTCCTCTTCTGTACCCCACAGGGCATGAAAGATCTCAAATGTTCTGACCTGGACCTGGAATGCAGCTCCCCAAGCAGCAGACATGTAGTTCTTGAACAGACTGCCCGGATCATGGTCTGAGGTGAGTCAGTCCCAAGCTGGAGGCTGAGGACAATAGTGTCTGTTGGCCCCACTCTCACACAGTGGAGCTACTTACTAGAATATCTTAGCCTCACTTGATTCCTGAACCCATGTGGACTCACTTTTCCTATGTGTCTTGATGTGTTAAAACCAGGCACAGCACTAATGTGTGGCAGGGGGATCCCTTCCCCAGCACAAGCCCTGCTGAAGGTGACTCTTGCCAAGTACTCTTCAAGCCATCTGTTCTTAACATGTGGCATCATGTTGTACCTGAGTGCCATGAGGGAGAGCACACAACAAGGGCAGGAGCAGGTGCTATGGTTCCCATAGATTTGGGCAGCCCTTCTCTGATGTGTGTGGACCCCAGTGTCTTTCAAGATATTGGGATGTCCCTCTTGAATGAGCTATGGAGATCCATGCCTGGGGATGTTGGGTCAGGGTGGCATTTGGACACTGGCTGTGTTGGGTAGCCACATTGAACAACACAGGGTGTGTACCACTACCACATGCCCAGGACATCCTCTCACACTGTCTTTGTCATTCCCCTACAAACCTTTGTCTACATAGGGCCCCCATTGTCCACTCCAATCTTTCTTGGACCTTTGAATGGAATCATAGGAGAAGGCAGTGTATGTGTAGCTGCCCAAAGTCAAGTGTCACTGTTGTCCGCTGTCACCCAAAATGTATGGTGGGTGGAGGCTGCAGATTTAGCTCAGTGGCATAAGCACCTGCCTTGCAAGTGTGCAGTCATGAGTTCAATACCTGATACCGATAAACAAATGAAAAAGAAAAGACAAAAAAAAAAGGTATGGTAGGTAACAAAATCAGGTGTCCCTCAATGAGTAACTCAGGGCCTTTTTCTACTGTTATTGCATCTTTCATTCCCTCATTCCTCAGGCACCCCTCCCTCCTCCTGCTATATTCCATTCTCCTTGTAAGAGTACAAAGCTGGGCTTGTGCTATCCCTGGCTGGTCTAGGGGATGCTTTGTGCCATCCCATTCTGTCTGAGAATCCTGTTCCCACAAGTATTGCTGATTGGTTATCACCTAGGACAAGCTGGGTCCAATCTGTGTTGCACTTGGTCCAGGGCTTAGGACTGAAGAGCCCCTAATTTTAGCTCTCAGCTCTAGAAGTTCTCCTCAGAACATGGTGCTCAGAATTGAGGTCTCAAGGTCAGTCTGGAAATCCCTATCTGTAGATCATCTAAGGAGCTAGCTTAATCTGTGGGTTACCATGTGATTTATGAATATCTGGATATGTGGGGAGACAAATGCAAATGCTTCTGTCTGGCACAATCCAAGCAGAAACAGTAACTTTGAAATGGCTCCTGTGGGATGGGCAGAATTGGATCTGGCTAGGGAACAAAGGCTATGTGCACCACACATTGAAGCAGGACCCTGATATCTGGACCACACATTGGAAGGAAGGGGAATAAGGATGCCCCAGCCCAACTGTGTCTGGGCATTAATTCTTCTCAACTCATCCATCTCTGTTATCATCCATCTGTGTTCTGTCCCAAACCAAATGACTGTGTTATAACTCCTGGCAGTGTCATCACCCTGCTATTTGTATGTCTCTGGGTCCTTCAAGAGTGGAGAGTACCTGGAAAGGAGAAGGCCCAAGGCTCACCTGTGCATAATATGCCTCTGTATCAGTGACTGACCCTCGGGTAAGATGGTCATGGCCACTTCATCTCTTTTTTGTCTGGTCAGCTAGTTGCCAGGCACCACTGTGTCCTCACCTTCCTGCCATTGGCTCCAGAGGCAAACACCTAGGTTTCTGGTCTTTGTGTTCGTGAGTCTTTAGTCTAGTGTGGTGGGGTGGGGCAGGAATCTGTGTAATCAGCAATGGGGTAGCTGAGTTTTGAGTGGCCACAGAGTGGGGCAAAAACCTAATATATTTCCTCCCGCACCACATTGATGTGGGGCCTTTGTGTATAAAGCAGTGTTCATTCCAGTTAGCTGTCACTTTTTACTACATCTTTCTATTTCAAGAACATTTACTGGAAATCTGTGTGTATGTGACACAGTATGTCACATATAAAACTATGTTGATAAAACTATGTTGAAGGCCCTGCTGAGCATCTCCACACAGACTTCCAGGCAGCAGCTCAGCCTTTGAAATGTAGTGAGAGAGGCAAGGGAGGAAGGTGGAGGAAGACAAGAGTCTTTCTCCAACGCTGTGGTTACAGAGGGGCCAGGGCACCTCCAGCTGTCACTGTTACACCCACTTCTGAGCCTGTATCCTGAGGCCAGAGAGGAGACAGCAGTTTTGATCACATTGATAGAAATCAGGGGTCTAAGCAGAGTTACAAATACAGGACTTGGGAGCCAGACTGAGGGTTCCTACAGAAGGTTTGCCTGTGTTTGGTTTTCACCTTCTGTCCTTGACTCAGTCATCACCAGCTATTGGCAGTGTGAGTTTCATTGTCTTCCCAAGTGTGATCTACATCTGAGGAGCTCTGGTACCCAGCACACAGTGAGTCCTCTATGTGTCTCTGTTAGGTTGTGCATAGAGAAAAGTATAAAAGTGCATATTCCTATGTTAGGGAGATGAGCCCCAGAAATTCCATTAGCAAGGACATAGATTGAGGACAACTGATGCTTTGCTCCACAGATTTGCATTTGCACAAAGGAACCATTGCTGGCCAAAGAGAGCATGTCTTTCCTGTGTGAGATTTTTCATCAATAGCTCTTTTTTTCCCCAAATATCAGAAGTGGATTTTCTTGCTTTGTGTTTTGTTTACAGATTACTGGACATTTTTTCTTACTACCTATTTACAGTGTAGACTGATTATGTTGGTGTTAGGACCAGGGCACACGTGATGCATAGAATGCATATTAGGCCCTATATTTTGCACAGTGGTACAACCCAACCACCAGTGATTGCTCTCAAAGTTTTGTGCATTGAGCATACAGCTCAGGGCCAAGAGATTGCCAGCATAAGGATGTGCTTTGTCTTGATTGTCCTTTCTTTATGACAAATACAGTGGGTAATGACGCAATAATTGGGAGCTTAGTCCAACCCTAACCCTAAGTTTAACCTACCCCTAAACCTAACTCTAACCCAAGATAGTCACTACCAACATTCCTGGCCAAATAAAACTTTATGGCATTGATGTGGGAAATGTAATATAGGTTAAGTATGAGGACATACAATCAGTGGTGGCTGGGATGGGGCAAGAGGGGAAAGAAAACAAAACACCATTGTGTAAAAATTTGAAGAATATATTCTGGAAGTGGACTTGGGAAAATTTGCTCAACATTGAGAATGCACTGAATGCCAGCAAGCTGATTATTTTAAACAACACTAAAATCTTAAATTTTATCTACATTTGTTCTATCACTAATGTATCTCTGGTAAATAAGTGTAGCTGTGAAAACAATAGTAAGTAAATCTGGAAGAGAGGGGAATGGCAGGTGTGGGTCAAGAGCTGCCCGCAGTTAGAGCTCGAGATATGACTCCTAAGTGGAGCCACCAGGAAGCTCAGAACTTCAGCTGCTGGACAAACGAACCCAGGTACTGGCTCTTGCTCTGGGATCACAGCTGGTTAGGGAGCTGCAGGTAGAGCTGGCACAAGGTCTGCAGGTGCAACTTCTGCATGGGCTGAGCCTGGCCCTGTAGTTGCAGGAAATGAAAAAATTGCCAACTTTCCATGGACTTCCTGGGCAAAACGTTCCTACTGCCTGTCAGAGGCAGCCATGTGCACCAACACAACCCAAGGAAAGCCTCCTGACTGCATCCCCACAAAGACTGCTGAGTGTGTCATACTCCTGGGTCACCCAGCATCTGGGCACTTTGCTGAGTTCCAAGGTCATCACCTCCCCACAACCCTACATCCTACACTCCAAAGATAGTTACCCTGTGGCTCAGTCTCTGGGGCTCCAGCTGGTCCAGTAGAAGCTCAGCCTGGGGATCCACATGGGCATATACTTCCAATGTGGCCTCAAGCACAGAAGAACTGGGGAAGACAGGGAACCAGCAGAGTGAGAGACCTGGGCTTTCCTCCCACAATGCCTGCACATCTCACTTGTAGAGAGGGTTTCATGGACCTCCTGCCCAGTTGATTCAGTGTCCAGCCCCATCCTCACCCACCCACAATTGGGCAGTGAGGGCCCAAGGAGCCCTTAGTGGCTGAAAGAAGTCCCATTGGGAGGGAGAACTTGCTTAGTTTTATCATACATCTACATTCTTCAAGGAATCCTGACACAGTATCTCCCTGCCCCTACCCAGTAAAAGTCATCTTGGAGAAGGTAGAGACTGCAATCTGCCCTGTCTTTGCACTCAAAAGCTCAGGGCTGCCACTCCATGAATATCTGAGAAGTGAGGGATCAATCAGTGTCTGTCCTGCATCTCTGCAGTCTCTAGCTCAGGCAGTGATGCAGTGCCCAATTCTCTTTGCGCCTGTATAACTCCTTGTGCTTGGTTTGTACCCACAACTAGGGAGGCCTGGGGACTGGAACAATGGCTTTGGGGTGAGCAATATCTGTTCTGCTGCCAAGGGTTACTCTGTGGCCTCCCACAAACATCAAAACTCAAAAGGGCAGTGGTTCCACTGGCTATGCTTACAGAATCTTGGTTAATACCCAGAAACGTGCTTGCACACAGTGTGTCTTCATATACGATTGTGGGTTGGTAACACATATCTGCTCTTCCTATCTGTCTGACAGCCATGGACAATTTGCCATTCTCAAGATTTCCTGTCATGGAGTGACTCTCCTGTCTGCTTTCTGATGAACAGAACTGCATCCACCAAGTGTTGGTCACTGGGTGGGATGGAAGATCATCCATCAGAATTATCACAGCCTATACAGCAGGTCTTCATTGGGCCAAGGCCACAGCTAACTGCTTGGCATGGAGCCCCCATTTCATCCTCAGTGACCCTAAGCTCTCAATCCACTCATTCCCAACCTGTTTGGCACTGTAAACTAGGGTTGAGTGAGGCCCTTGCATAGGGCCAGGACCTGAATCCACAGGTGACCAATTCCCACTGGGCTGCTTAGGTAAGAACTTACCTGCTCAGCTTTGGTGCCTATAGGGTAGAGAGCTTAGCCCTGGAGAAGTCCAAGGAGGAGAGGCTGTGCCTGGGGTATCTATCCAGAAGGCCAGCTCCTTAGGCTGCTTCGGGCTGTGACTCCCATCTGCCTGCACTGTGCTTCCTGTACAGACCTCTCCCAGTCTCTCTGCTGCTTGACTTCTGAGACTGTGGGTAGACATGGAATTGGTGTCCTGCACATAGCTTCTCAGGAGGTTTTGGGGCTGAAGGAAAGGCCACATTCCAATTAGTCTGCAGAGGCTAGTGGTAATGGGCTCACAGGAGGGCCCCTGCAGAAAAGGGATTCTCTTATTAAAACTTACATTTCACAAGGGAAACTTAGAAATACTAGCATTCTCAGATCACCTCAATAGAGAGGTTGAATAAAAGTCTATGTATGAACAAAACCTATGAGTCCTAAGACATCCCACCCATTTTAGAGATGAGAAAAGGAGGCTCATTCTGGATGTCCAGGTGCATTAATGAGGCACCTCAGAATGTTCCCAAGATTCTGATGAAAAGTCCCCAGGAAGGAATTAAGTTCCTCTTCTATAGCCATGGAAGGCTTAGACACTGTACTCACTGCTCTCTTCTTGTGCTCATTTAGCCCAGAGGCTCCTGCAAAAGGACCTGCAATGCATGGAAAAATCCCATGAGACAAGTGCCAGAGAATGGGACAGAGTGGACTGACATTTGAGGTGAGCACACATCTGGTGAGGTGATGCTGTGTAAGAGCTGGGGACAGTGGAGAAAGACACCTTGCTAATGGTCCTTGGACACCAGGCCCAGTACAGAAAATGAGGTACAATGGCAGAATTCATTCATGACAAGAAATGAAACGATTTTGTGTCTGTTCCCTTTCTCCTCTTCCATCAATATATGTACAGTGACCTTGCCTGTGACAAGGTAGAGGATTAGTAGAGAGGATATGATAGTTGAGCACTTGCAGTCCAGATTCCTTTGGAGTAAGACCATGGGCCCAGTGTTTGACAAGCCCTGGATAGAGGTGTTGGAAGGGTTAATCAGACCCAAAGTTCCTCTTAGTCGTGTGTGGGCCTCCATACATTCCCTTCTGCTCACATACTCTGCACTGGAGCCAATACCTCCTGTTATTGTGGGTCCCATCTCTGGAGCAGGGATGTGGCACACAGGGCCCAGGGTCCACCTCCATGCCAATGTCCTGTGTGCAGCATGGTTGGGGCAGTGCCCAGCAGCCAACAGGAAGCCTGAGACTCTGAGGCATCACAGGTTTCACTTTGTGAACCCAGATAACCTTATGTTCCGCAAAGACTAACAGCTCTTTCCCAGACTTCTACCCAGGGGGACAGGAGATGACTCTGGAGGCTCTGGATAAGCATGATGCTGCCCTTCTCCTCCTGCCAGCCCTGTTCTGGGTAGGAACATGACAGGAGCACAGACTCACACTTCCCAACACCTGCCCCTGCCCCAGAGCATCTGCCCTCACTGCCTGTCCTTAGAGCACTTACACTGATGATTTAGGATGGGAATTGTTTAGAAGAATTCAAAGACGTGGCCAGGCCTTAATGTGCTGTCCTCTAGTTGGTGTCTCTGAGTGGCTGGGGCTGAACCTAGGGACACGTGTCCTGGGCTCCCTCTTGTTTCTGGTGTCTTGGGAGTTGGGGCTCTTGGGCCCTGCCGTGTGCTGCCCTGGATTTTAGGCAGTTCCCGGTGGGCTTCCTGAAACATCTTGGCCCAGTGAACCATCCTTTCACTCATTTGCATGTGGTTTTCCCATGCAGGGTCAAGAGGCTGGGGCTTCAAAGCCTCAGAAAGCAGCACAGCATATTCACTGGTTACTCTCATTAGCCAAGTGCTGGTGAAGGTCAACTGCCACCAGACAAAGTTGCCTGGTGACCAGAAGCTTCAAAGTTCTGTTTAGACCTGTTGCCAAGGAAGTTGTGTCATGTGCTGGGGTCCATAGCTGGGCTGCCCCCTCTGATGCCTCCTTTCTTTTTATTGTGGAACAAATTTGTGTTCCTTCGAAATCGCAAGTGAAAAACTAGAAAACAGAATGTGGTTTTATACTTTTCTTCACTTTGAAATATTTCATACAACAAACATATGGATTCTTCAGAAGTGGCAGGCTGGGAACCAAGTGCACATTTCCATCCAAAAAGTTTTTTTTTTTCATTGAGAATTAGGCTTCACTTAGAGATCTGTCAAATTTTAGGATGAGTTTCTTTCCTTGGCTTATGTTAGTTTTATTTCAAATCCACTAGGGAGTATGGAGATATTCCCAGAATAACCATAATAATTTTCTTTGAAGTATGTGAATGTTTCATGTTATAACCTCCTCCTGTCCAGGGGATGAGGATTCCTAAGAAGTTTTACTCTCATGGGCCTATGAGTGATTACTTATTCATCCTTAGATATTTAACTCAGCCACACACTGTAGCTCCATACTCTGACACCCTGTGGAGGGGAGAGCAGGTGGTGATTGCAAGGGGAGGCTTTCCAAGGCCATGGACATCATCACCCCATGCTGAGGAAGGACACACATCACTCCTGGGGAACTTGTCTCATAGCCACTGATATCACTTCCAGTCCTCCCATTCCAAACAGACCATGGGCTTTGAGTCCCTCCTGGGTAGTTTGCCTTTCCTAGAGGTGATGGCCCTGAGGCTGATCAGGCAAAATGCTCTCTGGTTGGTCTCCTTCAAGCAATGTCTCCATCCTGGGCTCCCAGTGTGCTGCCACCACATGCCATTGTGGGGCTGAACAAAACCAGCTGTCACTTGTTCATGCACCCCTCACCCATCGGCTGATGTCCATTTCTTCTGTTTCTGGCTCAACCCTTGAAAGCAAGCTGCCACAGCCAATCTTATACATGTGCTTGAGTGGATGCAGTCTTTCATTTTAAAGAAAAACAACTTAAACGTGAAATTAATGGATTATATTACTAGTTTATGGCTAACTAGAAATTAATGGATTATATTACTAGTTTGTGGCTAACTAGAAATTCTTAAAGTATCGTTGGAAGCAGTTGTTTAAAGCAGAGTTAGGTGGTTGCTTTTTGTTTTGTTTTATTATGGTATATTGTGCTATGCTATATTATGTTACATTATGTTATATGTTGGTGAGGATTTTGAAACTGTATTTTCTGTGGTTTCTGATTTGATTTTGTATATTCAATCTGAGAAAATATAAGAATATCACATAACTCTGAGTAAGTTTGTTTGGAGAAAATTTTAAAAGGAAAACACAGTCTGTGATGTTGGTACACACCTGTCATTTCAGTTCTCAGAGGTTGAGGCAGGGGGTTGTTGTAATTTTGAGGTTGTCTGGGGCTAAAAGGGAAGATCAAGGCCAGCTTCAACTGTATAGCAGAACCCCATCTCAAAAAAAGAATGAAAGAGTAAAAGAAAGAAAGAAAGAAAGAAAGAAAAGAAGAGAAAAATTAAAAAGTTTAAAAATACAAAGTCAAATATCACCTGTGAATTCAGAATAAAAAACATATGTAAGTTTTTCTTGCAAATGTACTTTAGTCAGCACACCTAGCATAAGGTTTACCATCATGTAGACACTGATGTGCTGCTAGGTTTGCCTTGTTTCAATTTTTTGAATATTTTACAGAGATGACTGCAGATATGCTACTGAATATACTTTCTTAGGATTTGGGTAGCTCAGTGTGAAGAGAATGTGATCATTGCTTTTTTTCCTCTCCTAAATTTATATTTAGAATCAGAAGTGGATCAAGGGATTGCTATTTTTTTTGAAATAATAATAAGGACTATATAAAAGATACTCTTTTAAGTCTATGGAAAATAAAAAATAATTGTAGAATAAGAGTGGTTAATGTACCTTGCACAGTGATTTCTAGGATTACTTAATGATCAATAATTTCATACATTTGTAAAATTTTGTTTTTAAACATTTTAAGACATAGTCTCACCAGTTTTCTGAGTTTCCCATGCTAGGCTTAAACCCTTCATCATCCTTCTTCATGCTGTCAGAGGGCTGGGATTACAGGTGTACATTATTCTGAGTTGGCAATTGGCAAACAATTTTGTATACTCATGGAATAAAATATTTGACTTTGATCTTTAGACTTTGTAGAAAGAATCCATCTAGTTAAGCTATCTACCACCTTCCTAATCTGCAGTTTCTTTCACAATGAGTAGGACTAAAAATCCAATTAACAATATTGGTAGTCACTGCTTTTTAACTGTAACTGTGGTCAGAATGCACTTCAGAAGATTACTCCAAATGCCTTCTGCTGGGGGACTGAGGCTTGATATCCCCAAAGCACTTTCTCTTTTTCTCTGATCACTCATGAAAATTGATGATTGGGATCAAATCCCAAAAAAAGATGTGAAGGATAAAGCTAATTGGGGTACACTGCCCTCCAGACGGCCAGGCCAGAATAAAACTTTGTTACCTTCCCTTCTACTTTCCAAGGTTTTGTTTTGGGTATGGTTTAGATTTTCCATTCAGTTTCTAGAGATTGAATACAGAGCTTTTGCATTTAGCTCCATTACATTCCACTTTTAAAAGTCTTCCTTTTGGACTTTTTTTGTTTTTATCAGTACCAGGGATCGAACTCATGACTGCCTGCTTACAAGGCAAGCGCTTATGCCACTAAGCTAAATCCCAGCCCCCAAAGTCTTCCTTTTTTGAGGAGTTTTTCAATAAGTTGCTAATTTGGTGAGTCTATCCTTGAATTTCTGATGTTCCTGCCTCAGCCTTCCAGAGTGATAGCATTACAAGACACACCGCCAGACGTGGTTTCATCCTGGTGTTATTAAAAACTCACTGGCTGAGCAAGGAATGGTGAAAATACCTGCAATGTTAGGCCACTGAGGCAGCAGGAATACTGGGAGTTCCAGACAAGCCTGCTGCCTCAGTGGCCACTCTGATTTCAGCTCAGGGCAGATCGACAGAGGGAGATCCTGAAAAGAAGAAGAAAAGGAAAATACAGGAAAGGATAGGAATGGAATGAAGAAACAAATCCAAACTCCTGCTGACTATATGAGTTGGTTTGTCTCTGGGCTAGTCATTTTCATCTGTGATCCTATTCTTTCAGTATAAGATGCTTTTGACTGCTGCCACTTTATAATATATTTGGAAACCAGGTATTTTGTGCTTCTATATTTAATGTTCTTTACATGGCTAAAGGATGACACTTTGTATTTCCTTGTGAATTTTTATATTGTGTTTTCCATTTCTAGGAAAATATCAGTGGTATTTTGACAAGAATGCTTTGAAAGAGCTGGTTGATCTGGGTAGCTTGTACATTATCACAACATGAATTCTTCCCATCTGCCATCATGGTATGTGTTTTATTCTGTTAGTGCTACTGTACTGCTTGCATCAATTTCTACAAATTTTAAAGAATATGTGAGTTTGGTTAAATTTTTCCTAAGCATTAATGCTTTTTGATGAATTGTAAAATGAATTGTATTCTTTATATTTGAGGCTGCAGTTTGTTTGAAGCACATAGATATGAATTGTTTAGGACATGTGAATCTTGTACCCTGCACCTTATGTGATTTTTGAATTTGTTCTAAAAGGTTTTAAGTGGAGATGTAAGTTTCTTATATGAAAGGTTGTGTCCTCAGGAAACAGAAACAGTGCTTAATTCTTCCTTTCTGGTTTGGAAACTTTCATTTCTTATTCTTGAGTAAATTCTAGGGCTAGAACTTGGAGTACTTTGTTGAAAGTTGCTGCAAGCCTTGTCTGGTTCCTGATCTGAGAAGAAAATCTTGAAGCTTGTCAGCCTCTCAGTGCGATGTCAGGATGGGCTTCTCATGTATGATCTTTGCTGTGCTGAGGTCCATTCTTCCTATACATGGTGTGTGAGTAGTTCTTACCATGACAAAATGTTGAACTTTGGAATTTGTCAAAGCTATTTTTCGAACTCTATTGAAGGGTTAGCTCTGTCTCATTCTGTGAAAGTAGCAAGTGATGCTCAATGGTTTTTATAGTGGGATGGTTGTTGCATCACTGAGATTGAGCCAAGTGTTGATCATGGTGGTTAAATTTTGCATGTGTTTGCAAATTTAGCTGATAAGAATTTAGCTGAATAATCTTGCTTATGTTCATTAGGAGTATTGGTCAGTAGGGTGTTTTCAATTGTTTTTTATTTTATTTTTTAATACATTATTGTCTGGCTTCACTCTCAGGGTGACTTTGTCATCTAAAAGAAGTTGGTGTTGGTTCTTTCCCTTCAATTTCTAGGAAGAATCCAAAAGTGATTGCTATTTATTCTTTATTATACACTTGAAAAAATTCACTGAGTCATTTATCTTATAATGGGTTTTGTTGTTGTTATTAATGAGTTTTGATTGTTGACCCATTGCCTATATTCATTTTTGCTCTGTTCATCAGTGTGTTTGTTCCTGATAGATGTGGTTCAGTGACACCAAAGGAGACCACATTCCCATTAAGGGTCACATCTCATTTTACTTAGGGATGCAGCCATTTACTTTTGTATCTTCCAACTAATACTACAGCATATATTTTTGGCAGTAACTCCTTTCAGTTACTTAGACTTTTAACGCAAAATGTTCTTGTTGGGTGGTTACTGCTGAAGGAAACGAGCTGATCAGATGCCCGTCTTTTATTTCAGGCTTCAGAAACTGACCTGCCTGCAGTGCCCCACCTCCTAACCTGCTGCCTGTAAACACCTGTCCTGCTCCACAGCTGTGGTGCATCCACATGTAGAAGTTGAGATTTGCACTTGGATGGATGACATTCCATCAGTATTGGCTGTGTAATGGACTTCCCTTTTCATATAGTGCTTCCCTGAGTGAGTCAGGGGCCTCAGGCCTACAGGGAGGAGTTCTGGTAGCAGGGTCATTGCAGCCCTCTTCTGTCCAGTGTGCAGTGTATTCTGCTTTGCTGAGAATCTGACTTGTGGCTCAGGAGGCCTGGACCTCAGGATTTCTTGCCCCTGGTGCCAAGGTGTCTTCTACCACTGCCTGGCCCATTTTCCCCTGACATAAGATCTCCACAGAGATCTGAGCACCCCTAGACTTCCTCTTCAAGGCTCCAACTCAATGTGGAGACTTCAGGTTTGAAATCTGTGACTATGAAATTCAACCTGTATGCATTTAACCTGGAAAATGTACTGCTAAGTCTTCATTATAAAAAGTGAGATTGAAAGACACCCGTGTTCTTTTTTACTCAGTTAAGGTGTGAAAAATTAGAAACCATGAACATAGCACACAGCAAAATTGCTGAGTGAATTATAAACTTACAGGCACAGAAAATGCTAAAAGAAGGCCATGTTCTAGGCCATGTCCCCAGTCTTAGTAGAGATGACAGAAAGCTTATGGCTTGGCCCTCTCTCCACCCAGCAGTGAAGAGACACAGGCCCTCACAACAGGCAAGGACAGGAGAGAGGAGCTGCTGGATGGCAGACCACTCATCCTAAATGGCCCTGATAGGTACATTGTGATCCCCTCTCACACTGCTGAGCCCTGGCTCTCTTCCTACCCAGCCTTGTACTCTGTGCTGCCCCCCCTCACACACACACCTTGGGAAGAGGTGGCATCTCTCTTTGGTTTAAGTAAGTTGTCTCAGGTGACATTTTTTTCAACTAAGGCAAAATGCAATTTCCACCTTTATATGGACCTTGCTCTGCTTCTCCCACCCTACTTCTGTCTTCTGAATCTGCGACTGACAAGCCCATGGAGGACTCTGCTACTGGAGAACTATTTGTATGCCATTAATATATGCTCTCTTATTACAAATGACAGATTTAGAAAAATTAAAAAAAAAGAAAATCTTGGTATATTTATCTATGTCACCAGGTTTGTGTTAGTTCCCTGTGCCACTTCCCCACCCAACAATGACATTGTATGATAAAGGATTTTGAGAGTAAAACCAAGAAGAGCATTCACATTTCCAGTATTTTGCAGCTCCATTCATTAAGTGATGGGCAAGTCTCCCAGGCTCTGCCTCACTCTGCCTCTGTCCCTCTGATTGTCTCACGCACATCTCTGTGTGTATGCACATTGATGGCAGAGATATTTCATTGTAAAAACTGAGATCTTCCACACACAAATCCATCTTGCATCAATGGGAATTTCATAATCAGATCCCTTGGCCTCTTTCCCTGTGGGCCCAGAGATACTGAGCTCAGCTTCCCTGAAGCTTCCCCTGCTTTCTGTGGTCTACACTGGTGCCCTGCACACTCTACCTGCAGGGTAGGGAGGGTCCTAGTTCCTTCCTTTTCTAAAAGTGCTATGAACAACAATCTTGAAAAGAAAGTTAAAATGTTATGCAGATTTTTCTTTATTTTTTTTTTGTGTTGTTGTTGTGCAGCTCTCTGTGTGGGAGAAACCTCTATGCTTAGCTCAGAGAGGTCCAGGGACCCTGTGTAGAGCTCGGATGGGAGCTGAGGGAAATGGTTCTGCTTCCCCCACACCATTTCCTCCCCATTGCTGTTCCCCACTTACCTTAAATCCTGAAGTCAAATGGGGACACAGCATCACTCAGTGACATGGCCCTGAATGTATCTTCAGTGGGAAACTGTGCATTTTGTACATTTGTTTGCCATATGAGGAGATTCCCTTTTGCATTGCAAGTATTTGTCTCTTACCTCACAAAACAAATGGAAAAGCAATTCCAACCTCAAAGATGAATGTATCTGAGTTTTATTTATAAACTGGGATCTATTTGGGACTGTCCTCTTTATCAAAGAAAAATATCAGTTAGTCTCTTCAATTAATGCTTGGCCAAACAGAGCTGTGATGCACTGATGTGAAAACCTAGAGTACTAAATCACAGAGGCAGAAAGATCAGTGGTGGCTGGGGCTGGCAGGGAAGAGAGGGAAATGTGTCCAAATGGGAGTGAAGTTGTGGGAAATGTTCTGGAACTGGGCAAAACTGAAGATTGTTCATATTGAGAATGTGTGCATGCCACTGCACTGAGTATGCTAATTAAAGTGAATGACATCCTATCATCTGTTTAAAATTAATTTATGCCATAATATTTAAAAGGAGTATAGAAGTAAGGGCAAGAAAATGGAAAAAATAGTGGAGGAGATGGGAAACTCAAGTTTTTAGCAGGAGCTGGCCTCAAGGGAGTTGAGGACCTGCCACCTGCTGTGGAGACCCTGTTAGTTATACCTCTGAGCTGACAGATGGGCTTCCTGGTGCTGGGTGTTCCTGTGGTCCCAGAGCTGGTGAAGGCACTGGAGATGGATCAGGTGCAGACTCTGCAGCTGGTCCATGAGCTTGGTGTGCAGCTGACCCTTCAACAGCAAAAGGGAAAAAGATCACCAATTTCCCCTGTTTCTTGCAGTGCAAACAAATTTCCCAGTGCCTGTCAGAGACAGCTCTGTGCACAAATCCACTATCCGGAAGTTTCTCACACTGCGTCCACCCACTGATTCCTGTGTGTCTCAGAGCTACAGGGTGGTCCCTTAGCCTTGTCCTCCTCACATACCCACAGACCTTACCAGTCCTCGTCACCCTTGTTTCTTCCTCAGTTTGTTCACAACGCTCAAGCTCAGCAAGTTGAAGCTGCATTGGAGGGTTCATGTGGGTTTGCAGCTGCTGCTTAGAGCTAAGAAATAGGACTGTGGTTCTGGAGGAGACAGGTATGGGGAGCTGTGTGAGCTCTAGTCCTCAATCCCAAACTGCTTGCCCAAGGCAACCTGCTGAGTTAGACACCTGCCTGCTGCTCCATCTGTGGAGAGCCCAGTTCCACTCTATCTCCACCATCAGTGAATCAGTCTTGGTCCAGACAGCCCTGGGAGACTGATAGATGACTCCATGGGAGAGTCTGTGTACACTGGTGTGACCATCTCTCCCTTCTTCAGGGAAGCTGTACACACATCTGTGTAGTTCTCTCCAACAGCATGTTGCCTTCATGGGGGATGGAAAACTGTCTGTTATGGTACAGGGGTTGTCTTCCATAAGTATGTTAGAAGAGAGAGGACAGAGGGATGTGTCCTGTTCCACCTCTACTCAGTCATTAGATTGCTCAGTGACTTGCCACCCAGTACTCTGTGCTTCCTCTGGACTCCTCTTTCACTGTTGTGCATCCATGTCTAGGAAAACCAAGAGGGGGTCTCATGTACTATAATGTCAGTGATACATGATCTGCCATCCAGGATAGCCCCCACTAATGTGGAACGTCAAGAGGGGAGTACATATATCTTACCTGGTCATTGGATCATGGTCAGTGCCTGGAAAGTGTCTGTGCATGTTGTGGCTCTATGTATATTCATGTACACATGGTACCAACTGGTTCCTGCCCTGATGTCTGAATGGCCCTGATGCCTCTGCCAGTCCCCAGAGAATATGGCTCTGAATAATACATCTGAAAGCACATAGAGCAACTCTCCAATCTCCTCTACAATGAAGAGAGAATGTTTACTCAGTGTAGGAATCAGTGAGGGAGAAACAAACCTTTCCCATGGAGAGACCAACTCAATGGAGAATAAACACAGCTACTCCAGCAGGCCTTCCATAGAGCCTTGGTTGGTGAAGCAATTGCCTGGAAACCCCATTTTGTACCATAGGGACCCTATAAGCTTGGCCATAGGTACAATTCACTCTTGTGAGAATTGCCCTATTACTGGGTATAATTCTCAGTTCTCAGTGAAGTGAGGCTGAGAGATGTAAGCACATTTCAAAGACTCAGCTTTAGGTGGCCGAGTCACACTGTGCAGCTGAGAGCAAACTCACTATCCCAGCATCGGGGCTTGTGGGGTTGAAATGTTGGCCCTTGAGGGACCTGAGAAGGAAGAGCTGTGGATAGGGCAGCTGTGCAGAAAGTCCTGTTCCAGGGGCTCCATCAGGCTGTGCAGCCCTTCTGCCTGTGCCACCCTCACTGTGCAAACCACCACCAAGTTCTACACTGAGTGATTTGCAGTCTGTGATGAGACAGTAGGAAGCCTAGAGTTAGTGGCCCAGCCATGCCCTACTGTGAGTGCTGGAAGCTGCAGTGATACACAAAGTTTAAATTTCATAAGGAGTATTTAGAAATGATAGCATTTTCAGATCAGTTTGTTAGCAAATAAGTCATAAACTCCTTACATGAAAAGTATCATCCCATGTGTCCTGTGACAACAACACATTCTAGAGATGAGAAAACAGGCTTGTCCTGGGTATGGGAATAGGGACCTTTATGTGATGACTCACAGGGTACTTGCCTGTGGTGCTGCTGAAAAAATTTGGTCCAGTTTTCTTAGCCATGAAAGGCTGAGTGGCTGTATTCACTGTTATCTGGTACAATGTCATTTAGCCTAGTGTGCCCCTAGCCTCTGACCTGAGGGGCTGGATATTTACCCTGAGACATGGACAAAGTTGCAAGGGCCTAGGTTTTGGATGAGTGCACCTCTTCTGATGTGATGATGTGTCAGAGCAGGGGGTATGGTAGAAACACAGTCATGCTACTGCCAAAGGGATAGCTGGGCCCAGGAGTTACAGTGAACTAAAACAGCGGAAGTAAATCATGACAGGAAGTGAAGTGACTTAGTGTCCATGTCTCTATTTTGATGCTCCCACTAATGTTTGGAGAGTGACCTGGCACTTGGCCAAATTAGTGGCTGAGCAGAGAGGATGTGATAGTTGAAGACATAGACCCCAGGTTCCTTTGGAGGCAGTACCACAGGCCTGCTATTTACTATACACTGGAGGGAGGTTCTGAAGGTGTAATCTGATCCTGAAGATCCCCTGTCCTCCTGTGGCTTCATTACAGAGTCCCCTCAGCTCACACTCTCCCCCTGCTGGCATCTGTTGTTATTGGGAGGCCCCACAGTGGTACACCTATGTGTATTGCAGCCCTGCAGGGACCTGCTCCAGGCTGATGTCTGGGGCAGCACTGTTGGTACAGTGCCTAGTAGTAGGCATGAGGCTTCTGAGATCTCAGACCAGCAGAGAAGGGGGCCATCAGGACTCCCACAAAGCCTCCCAGATATGTGAATACAGCACAGAGACCTGGCAGCATCTGGAAGCACAGGCTGCACAGAGAGCTGCAGGGACAGCCCTGCACAGTGAGCTTGGAGGGGCCACACCCAGTCTCATAACCCTGTTCCCCCATGGTACGGATGGTAGGGACACCCAGACCCACTGAGCAGGTAGTCACTAAGAGCTGTTCGCTAGCATTTATAATCCAGGAAGCGCTCAAACCCACGAGCCAGCCAGGCAGCAGACCAGGAGGTCTCACTTTGTCTCCTTTGGGATTGCCTAAGTGGGAAAGGATTCACTTTTCTAGTGACAGCACAGAAGCCACCAAGCATATGATGAACCGAATGAATTCCCAAAATGGAATGGAAATTTTCTTGTTTAGGCCAGGAACGCTATGGCCTGGAGCCCTGTGGTTCTAACTGGATGAGCAAAGTGTGAGCAGAGATCAAAGTAAAACACACACCATTTAGGGAACTTGATATTTAACCAGGTGTCCAGAGTAGTGGCAAACTGTACTTGTGTCAATTTGCTCAAATCCTGTCTTCACAAGAAAATACATTCCAGCACGACCAGTGACTAGAGGAGGACACATTTCAAAGGACTTGTAAAAAGTCCAACACTGAATTTAGCCCAACACTGAATTTAGATGAAAAGTAGCAGAGTCTGTTAGTCTTTCAAGTTTTAATAGGAGAAACTTGTAATAGCTGTTACATGAATAACTTCAGAGCTTTTGGAGAGGTCTAAATCACTATGAGTGAGGGCTTCCCTGAGTCACAAAGTTAAAAATAGTAAAAGAAACAATTTGAAAAACCAATCAACCAATTAAATACAAACACTAAGTCCACAGGGTTTCACTGGTTTTAATACCACTTATGGAATGCACAACTATTGATGAGGCTTACTCTGCTTTCTGCTTTACTCAGGCCCCGTACATGAGCAACTGTGAAAGCAAAATTCAAAATGTTATGTGAAGTGACAATTTCATTGGTGAAAGCATGACCCAATAGACATTTTCTCTTTTGAAACTTCGTACATTATCCATATATGTTCTCAAATGGAAGGAATACACAGGATTAAGATGATTTGTTTTCAGTATTTTGTGTTCCACCAGATTTATTTGAAGATCTCCTGTCCTGCATCCACTACCCAATGCAGAAGGCCACACATAGGACAACCAACATGAGAAGTTCACTTCTACAGCCTGATCATATCATCATGAGAATATAATTTTCCTTTCTTCATCAAAGATTTTTACATCAGATTAACCAGCTCTCTTGCTTTCCCATGTTTTTCCCTGGTTTCTGTGACTTGAAATGGGTGTGCACTCTTCTCAGCCTTGATCTCCATCTTGCCCCGTATTTCCAAACATATTCATCTGGGAAACATGTAAAGATCTTATTCGGGGCTTGTTTCATTGTTTTCAAATATCTGCCCTTCAAATTCAACTTCCACCACTGTCTCTCATATCCAAAGCTATGTGCTTGCAGAGGATTTCTGATGAGAAAGTTCACAGAAAGCTCTTTTACTGCAGGTGAATGATGCCAGCAAGTCTTGACTGAATAGCTTAGGGAACAGGACTCAGCCAAATGACAGACATGACAAGGGAAACGTGTATGCTCAAGGATAGGACATGGCAGAGATCATCTGCCAGGCCCTGGCATATTTCATATCCCATTGAAAGTACATCCATGTGTAGATTGGCAAGCATTTCCATCCA